GATAATCCTTGAGGCCGCATTCCGGTGGGATTATTTTATGGGAATGTGGAATAGTCAATAAAATATTTTGGATTTTGTTAAATAATTTATTTTTCGCGGTGATTTAATAAGGCAGTTGAAATGGTATTGTGGATTAGGTGTGAAAACTCATATTTCGCGATAATTGAAGAGGAGAATAAAATTTGTATTTGGGAATTGGTCGGAACGCTAACATTTAGAGAAAATTGAAATCGCAAACTAAAATTTGGAAGCAGATTAATCTAATCAAATTGTTTATCATTAATTATTCTTGTGCTGAACTTTCACGTCAATAGTGGAACACGTAAGGACAATGTTTTGTTGCATTCATTTATTGCTCGCCTCCTTTTTCCTTTTTTTGTTTTTTTTCCCGATTTTTGCAGTAACCTTGCCCCCATCTACGATCCATCCCTCTCTCCATAACTGGCATACTGAGCGACCCCAGGACCGTCACCTTTCCCCGAAAGCCTAATTATCCTTTCTGTTCCCTTCAGGTTCCCTTTTTGATTTTAGAGTACATTTTTGAGTTAAATTTTAGGGTTTTGAGGTACGATTTTCGATTAAACGACTATCGAAATTAGTTAAGGTTAGGATTATTAATTTTTCCGGTTTGGTAATTCCGGACAAAAATTACCTGGCGCCATTAGGTTAAATTTTAGCAGGTTTTATTAGGCTTAGGAGAAGTAGGGCGAAGGTAATGGGCATTTTTTATTCCCCGAGAAAATGTCACGTTACAGTCCTTATATGAATGTTGTTGAATGCCTCCTTGGTATGAATGTTTAATCCTTGTATGAATGTGAAATTTTCTGGTGGAACTGCACTGATTTTTTTATTACACTCGCTGACCTTTCAAGCGGAACTGAGTGACTGCCAGGGTCTATCTTCTTTGCCCTTGTTCTTCTCACCAATTATTAATTGGTGTATGTTAATTCATACACGAATTAATAATTGTGTGAAAGTGGGGGAACATGGTGCACTGCTAAGTGCCCATGAAGATTCTTTGGGAGGGGGAAGGTGCCGGATGGAGAATTGGCGCGTGGTGACTTGAACGCGGGAGGATTGGGAAGGGGCGTGGGTTGCGTAACGCACTTGCTAGTGCGTTGCTGGAGGATTTCGGGCGGCGAGGTGTAGAGGGGTCACTTGGAGACAGTCATCTGACTATTTTCAAGTGTAATGCAATACCAAGGGTGATAAGGCCCCTTGGTAACGCATTCCTTTTCGCGGTTTAATATGAGAATGTTAAATGAACATTCTCATATTTAAAACCTCTACTTGTTTTACCCTTGTAAAACAAGTGCTGGAATTTAATTTAATTCCATATTTTTTTTCGTTTTGAATAAAATTTTTTTTGAAATTTGATTATTATCGTTAAATTCCACTGGAAATTTATTTTCAATGGGATTTAACAATAATTTTGTACGTCTTCGCGTAACACTAGCGTCCAAGAAACCTAGCAGGAATCCTTTTTTTTAAAGAAATATAAAGGCTCCATATTTTTTTTCATCGTTCATAATTTACTCTTAATTCGCTCCTAAAGATACGACTAAAATTTATCGATTCCGCTGGTTTTTGCTGCTAGCTTTCAAGAAAGCTAGCCGGAACACGTTTTTTTTTTCAAATATAAAGGCTCAAAATTTTTTTACGTCGCTCAAAATTCACTCCTAATTAGCTCCTATAGATACAACAAAAAATTTTCAGTTCCGCCAATTTTTACCGCTAGTTTCTCGTACGTAAGATTTAACCGTTGCGACAGAAAATTAAAACTGATATTTTTTGTGTATTCAGAGTAAGATCTCCTATCCATTCCTACCAAATTGTTACCTATCTATCGTAGTTACGGCACGATTCCGATTACTTTGGCGCCACAGTCTGATGGTAGTTTCCCGTACTATTTTGTCTCAGGAATTCGGGAAAAATAATAAAAAAAATCGATCTCTATTATTTATAGTAGTTTTCGATTTTTTAATGTAAAAATTTCAAATAATACCAACTTATATCATACAATGTTGGGACGTTGGGGATTGCGGGTGGAGGGTGAGGGGAGGGGGGGAGGTGTATTCAGCCTTGTCAATAACCAAAATAATTTTAAAAATGTGGAAAATTTTGAGTAGAAATTTTCATTTTTAATTTCAAATTCAAGTTGTGAAAATATTATTATTTATACATTTCAGCGGTATAAACTATAATTATTAAGGGGAAGCAATAAATTTTAATGTTTACATGTTCTAATTTCGTTATTTTTTTTTGCTAAAAATGAACTATTTGTTGTTGTTTTTGTTTAATCACATAGTTAATTACTTCTGTGATTTTTTCCCAAATTATTATCTTTAATGATACAGCCAATTTTTATTCTTGACTGGGGGGGCTTTGCCCCCCTACCCCCTACCAGGGGCTCCGCCCCTGGACCCCGCCGGGGCCACTGCCCCTGGACCCCGCCGGGGGGCTGCCCCTGGACCCCGCTTTTTTTATGCCTTGAAAACAGCATGCTTATTAACACAAAAAAAAAGGAAAATGAGGGGGGAACTTGGCTAGTTTTTGGCTTTATCTTCAGACTGTTTGGGCGTTACCCAGAATGCACCACGTGGAGGTAAAGTCTGTTTGTTTGAACAAGCCCTCCAAATGAGGTAAATATAGAAAAATGAGCAAGCTTTGGATGCAATTGAGGATGAGAGGATGTGTTAGACATTTTAACACTTTTAATTCACTTGAAAATCACAAAAAAACTCTAATTTGCTTCGCTGCCTGATTAACACGCTTTGAAAAACAAAGGAGAATGAAGAAAAACAATGGCGGCAAGATTTCATTCGAATTTATATAATTCGTGAAAAATCCGCTAGATGGTGTAAAGGTTAAAAAGAAGGTTAGAAATTTTCATATAATATGGTATTATAGGTTTAGATTTATTTAGTGATATATAAAATATAAACCATATTTTTCAAAAAAAAGAGGTCCATTTTGCCCCTTTTTCCCTCTATATCTCGAAATACATTGTAGAGGGAATTTTTTCATTATTTTTCTCGAGCTCGCGAGACAAAATACTACGGGAAACCACCATCAAACTGTGGCGCCAAAGTAATCGGAATTGTGCCGTAGTTACGAAGGGTTTCCTCAACAAAAATTGTCACATTCAGTTGGCTATTAGTTTTTCCACCATATCTCATGATTTAGGCACGATATTCATTTTTCGGTGAAACCTTCCTTTCAGCCCCGAATGAGGTCTACCAAAAAGCTTTATTTGATAAGAAGCTAAGTTTACGGTAGATTGGAAGTTTCAAGATTATCGGTGTGAAATAATGGTTGATACTCTCGAATCAATGCAAGCACTAGTTATTCACCGGCTCAGACCACGGCTTGTCAATCCTACAATACGCCTGATTTGTTGCGGATTGTGGCCAATTAAAGTAGTTCTCTCGTTCATGTTGAGTCACAACTTGAATTAGTGATATATAACGTTATTATCTTTCGATGAAATTTTTATCGCCGAGTTAATCGAGGCTGATTTACTGAAAGTGTTTAAACTTGTCAAGTTACTCTATGACTAATAGGTAATCGGGAAAAATTCATCATTTTTTTCCAGTTCCATAATTGATTAGAAAGGTATGAAGTAGATCTAAATCGAAAGGTCGCGAATTGCTACATGGTTTATAAAGCGTTTCAGACATATATTTTCATTGATGTAGCGCAGAAGCATCGTTGAGCGTCCACCGCTGCGAATAGTCAGTGTGTTGTGTCCAATACGGATTTACTCTCAACCAATAACAAGAATTATGACGATTCAATGTTCCCGTGCTATGAAACGTTGCTTCATCACTGAAAAAGACGTAATGGAAGAATTTGAGACTTTCATCCATCTTCTGTAATACGATTCTCTCTGTTTAACGGAAATAATGCCTGAGTCAATGGGATATGGCAGTGGTAATACCGATTAGATAGCAGAATCCAGTGAGCAGTGCTGCGCGGCACACCTGAATCTCCATAGTTTCGTCTAATTGTAAAATTGAAACAGGTAACCCATCGGAAGGAATAAAAGGTTAGGTATTGGAGTGTTTACTTAATTTCAATATTAATATAATATAGTATAATTTCAACTGTAATCTCTCACATAAAGATTCCTAATAAAGTCATCGTCGGTTCACTCTGTTGCCGCGACTTCCTGACTGCTCGGCCGATTGATCTCAGGAGTTCGTTCCCAATCTCGGAGATGTTGTGCTCCTCACTAACAGCTATCGGGAAAAGTGTGGTATTATAAATAATTTGGGATTTTGATGATATAAGGTTTTTTATTGATTGTCGATGAACTTGGACAATTTTATAACACACTATGGCTTTCTGGATCGAATGTACTGCCGTGCTAAGTGCGGGTTTTCCCAGGATCGAATACCCCCTTCGGTATGTACCGATAATCTTCCGAAGACTAGCTGTCCTCGTCCGCTCCTGGGCATGATCTCTCAGACAGAGAGAGGTTTCCACTTATAGAAAGGAAATATCCTTATGGGGCATAGATAAAAATTGATGGTATGCTTGGATAAACTCTAGGATTTCAAGGTAACTCATCTTTTCTGTGCTATTTCAACACTTAACCCAATATCGATTCCAAACTATTTTCGTAATCTATAAGCTGAAAATAAAATAGTAGTAATTGTGCAATGTTTATTTGATAAATATTTTAAAATATTTATCGTGAAATCAGAACGTAACATGATTCAGGGATCCAGGTGTATTTTAACATGGAGTAAGTACCTGAACTGATAAATTGTCAGGAATCTGAGAATAATCTTTCGGGATTAATGATTAAATATATGGGAAGGTGACATATCCCGTGTAGGCCTATTTTTCAAACGAGTCTATTTTCGTATTAACATCCTGCCTCGTTCCCAAGCAAAATTAGTAAAAGGTAAAACCGGACCAATGCAATAGTTTTGTTTGGAAGCAGGATACTAATAGTGCATAGTGTGCCATCATTTCGATATGTTCAACTCTACTTCTACTAAGAAATTTTATTTTCGAAGTACATTAATTATGTTCTCGCAAGTTAGGCAACAAAAATCCATGCGATAGTTTAGTTTATTAAAAAACATTATTTTTTTTAGTTGTTCTTTTTTGCTTTGAATGGCCAGTTATATATAGGAACATCTAAGACAAGTTTGGCTACAGCCTTAATTTAAAAAAACCATTTTTTGGCATATGTGACCTCATTTATACTATTAACTAGATCATAGTGAGAGCGCAAAAATTGAATCATTGTTTCATATCTATACGGACATTTATAGTATCGCAATATCGATAATCGTATCGATTCACAATTATCTGTTTGATTTCCCATCCTACATCCTATATTAGAATGTGTTCGAAATTGCTTGCATAAAGCAGACCATAGTTATAACCATGATAGGAATTATCATCATTGGCGAAAGACTTATCCATAAATTAATCGAATATTTTTTATATCTAGATGATTTTATGTGAATTTATTCATTTTAGTTTTCAACAAGAAGAGATCAACAAAATAATATTCATCAAAGAAAAGCTTGCACTGCTGCGAGGCTTTTTGAATTGACTAGAATGCCACCATAACACTGGAGTACGTTGAATTTTCCGAAACCACGAAAGTCCAACTTGCCATGTCAGCACCGATGTAAAGCGAGGGTTTCTAAAATTGAGCGACAGAGGGCTCTCACGTTCGGCTGTGCTTCAGTTTCGCTCTTGTTCTGCTCCAGTATCCGTAGTATGTCGGCACCCCCCTCTCGCACTAGCATACCGCAATAACGTTTTGCTGAAATAAAAATTATAGAAACAAAAATCAGGAAGTCACTCTTTCTTTCTACTAATTATTACTTAAATTTTCGTATGCTAATATTGCATTTGGATAAAACTTCAAAATAAAAAACGACAATAAATTTACAGAGATGGCTTTTGTAAAGAAAACTCAAAAAAAACAAAATATTGTAATTTTTTTCGCAACAAAATATGACCAGAATAATACTAGCGACGAGGCAAATTTTTGCATCTCCCGTGTCCCATATTGTCCCTTGCATATTCCGCGTCACCGTTGGTTAACACTACTTTCGACGCAACCAAGAGGAAATGGAATCAAGCAGTTGCGACGATTGACTCTGAATATTGCCGGCCACTTCTGAATGTGGACAATAGTGGACATTGAGCTTAAGAAGCGTCGGAACGGACGGCCCGACGAAATTATTACGAATCCTCCTCGTGGACGACCGGACCAGCACGCCGGGTATTCTTCCCGAAGAATTGGCAGCAGCCATGGATATAAATTACTTTTCCAAAATTCCCAATAATTATTCCCATCCACAATATCTCTCCAACAGTGCAATACCCATTGGCCATTTTACGGCCACGTGTTAATAACTTGAAAAATATTGTGTATTGGAGTGACATCGAATTGTTCACAGACTGCGCAATTTTCCCAACCTTGTGTTTATGTAACCTAACTTCACCCCCTCTTCCAGATGTAGAATAAAAGTTAAAGTGCATAAAAAAGTGAGAAGATTAATCATGGAAAAGTTGAACAAGCAAACAGAATTCGTATGGAAATCGGTATAGTTAATTCGGTAAAAGGATATTAGAACTACTTCCATTTCCAACGTATTCCGTTCCATAATTTTTTTCATTTTTAGGTATATTCTAAAGTAAATAGACATTCTTCGTGCGCGAACTGAACGACTATTAATGAATTTAACCTCTTTGAGTCATCTCACTTTGTTCGGTGGATGCTCATAGAGATATGCAGGTACCCCCTACTCCATTATTTTTTGAATACTAGTTCATTTATAATTAACTAAATAATGCAATGAGGTATTTCAAAAATTCAATGCGTGATGAACCTTTTTTTTTAAAAAAAAGATTCAAGCCTCATCAGTCCTTCTCATGATCCAAAGGTCGCGACGAGGACGCGGCTGGTATGGAGCCCACCGAACAGACGTGACATAGTTACCGAACCACGAAGATGATTGACATTCAGTGAAAAATGGAAAGAAATAAATGAAAGGAGAGATATTATTCTTTCACGGTAGCGTTGAACCCGCAAATTGACCAAGTTTATGTTAGACAGCGCTGAGAATTTATTCTCATTTATTACCGATAGGAAAATGTATGAAAACGATCGCTGCAATCGAGAGCATACACGTAACCAATTACTTGTACCTGGTGCGCATGCATCATTAATGGCATGGGATCCCAAAGGGAAAATCTTTTCGCATGGCCAGACTAATAGGGGCGTGAAGGTCACGTCGGAAAAGCCGAAAGGGAAGCTTACATAACGGAACCGCAACGGCTTGTAGGTGTGAATGCACCGCGGCAGCGGACGGAGTGCGGTGGGGCGGTAGCTCGAGGATGTCGTCATCTGCGCATCTTCTGCACGACCCCGAAGAACTGGCACCCACCAAAGAACTGCAGGAACCTCACAGATACAATAGCTGAAAATAGCTGCCGCCTATCAGGGGTGCTGAAGTCAATTTTCAGCACATAAGGCAGTTAGAACAATACCAGAAAAATAGCCCTATTAGGATACTTGGCAGGCATGGATCTGAAGATTCTGAACGGAGAATCCAGCCCCACGTTTGTCACATCTCGGTGTCAGTGCCTCACCGACATAACATTGGGAATAGAAGGTCAACCACGATTATTTACTCTCTAGTCACGGACGAAGTAGGTCTGAGTTTAAAAACATTGCTGCAATGGAGCAGGGCCTTATGGGAAGGAATCCCAGGGCCACTGACTGAATCTCTTTTGGAAGGGAACTCGAAGAATGGCAGGGTGAACGTGTGACACCCAGTCACATAGATAGGCTATGGAATGAAATGGAGAGGATTCATTTAGCCATAACCGAATTTTTCCAAAGAGCATGCGCGATGAAACCTTGCAAAGAGGGGCGAAAAGTCAAATGCTAGAATCGGAAACTTGAGAGGCGGAGAAACCTGTCCAGACTCTGGAACCAAGCACACCATACCAGAAGCGATGAAGATTGAATTCAATACTGGGAAGTGCAGAGGGAGTATAAAAATGGTATCAAGAAATCGAAAGAATCCACATGGAGGACCTTCTGTGAGGTGCTGGATGAACTGTCACCGATTGCCAAACCCTGCCGAGTCTTCTCCGGTGGACCCTGGCAATGATTGAGTGAAATCACAATACCCAGTGCCCAGCCAGATGACATCCTCGAACATCTAATCCCGGTGCACTTGTCTTACTCAGTGGTACAGAGAAAGGTTATGTGCTCTGGATTGAGTCGGGTACGACGAAGAGAAGGTCATTCCGACTGGGACTTGGCCTCGAAAATGTTGACGTTGACAAGTGGAAGTGTACAAGGGTACCGGACCTGATAGAGTATACGCGGTTTTTTTGGAAGGGGGGGGGGGGCGCAGATTCCCGACTGCTGCATAGGCTACTAGCAACATCGAAGGCATGTCTACCTCTAAAACATGTGCCAAAAAGATGGAGAGAGGTCAGAGTTGTATCCTTAAACCTGGTAAATACCGCTATGATTCTGCCAAAGCTTATAGACCTATCAGCCTAACCTCTCTTCTACTGAAAACGCTGGATGGATTCGTTGATTGGTATATTGCATATGCAGTGTTGAAAATATGGCCTATCAGCCACTCGGAACACGCACATCAGGTGGGCTGATCAACTAAGACTTCACTACACACCCACGCTGGAACAATAGGAAAAGAAACGGAGAAGGAAACAGGGAAGAAAAACGGAGAAGGTATCTTCATCGTCGTAGGGGCTATTTGATAGCACGTGCTTTAGAATCATGGAGAAGCTGACGGCATGTTTGAGGATCGATACACCAATCGTCAGATGGATGGGGAACTTTACGGTCAGGGTGATAGCGGGAAACGGTTGGACGCAGATAGAAACTACGTCGCCTTTGCTCCGGCTCCTTGTTATAGATAAGCTCGTTACTTAGGCTCGAGAGATCGTGCCGTTATTCTTCCTCTGGACAAGAACCGTCAGGGGCTGCTGCTTGGAGAGGGGATGTCTGCGGGCAGCAATGATACTTCCAGAAGAGTTTCAAGCTCAAACCTTAGAAATCGGGTAACCCAACCAGAAAGTGATGCGGAGTGGACGCAACCAAGAGGGCTAGTCTGATACACGAATGGCTCTGGGATTGGCGACTGAAAAAGAGCAGCGATTTGGTCTGAGGGGCCTTCAAGTACGAGAGGCCTTGGACAAGACTCCCACGCCACCGTAGTTCAAAAAGAACTTATTACCCCGAGGGCGTGTTCCAGGGAAATCTTGGACAGAGGGGATAAGGGAACGAAAGTATATATTTACTGTAATAGCAAAGGCGTGCTGAGGGCACGGCTCAGATAGGAGAGTTGTCCTCGATTAGTAAATGATTGCACTGAGCTGATGGAGAGGAGCCTGGCCCAAAATTTATAATTTCCGATTTTTACGTCGGGCATATCGAAAATCGAGTAGAAAATGTATGAAGAAATTAGCGTAATTTTTTTATATTTAAAAAATCATTTTTTGAGGCGACATAAACTATCTGAAGTTTTGTTGAAATATTTAACGCACTAGTAGTTTGTTTCGATGAAGCATCGTGAAAAGTCAAATAGGTGGTCTATTGACACGTGTCAAAGTCTACCCACAATCATGAGTTTTCGTTCGAATAACATATGGCACCACTTTGTATATTTTTCTCGGCTATCGTCAACTTTATTTTCTCTTTTTTTGCGTTCTCTTCGAATATAGAAAACCAATTCAATCCCCTAATTTTTCTTTTGTATTTTTTGATTCAGGTTTTACATTTGTCCTGAGAATTCCGTATGAAATCGAAATTTTTTCATTTCTAATAGTAACGTTTCAATTTTCAACTATTCGCTTACACAATTCTATTAAAATTCTGGAAAGATTAAATAATTTATAAAACGGTACGCCATCTGCAATGAACAGGAAAGGTCGCATCTCACACTCAAATTGTAAAGAAAATATATAACAGTCCAACAAAATAATGAGCAAATTACCATACCAATTTGCATTATGGGAATTTGTATGGCCTTTTTTTGATCACATGTTTCATGACAATATTGATAAGCAAGTACAATATTTAGTTTATCTTTAGGACTCAATGAATCAACTTTTGACCTTGAGAACTATCTGATAAAGGTAAAATTTTGTCCAGAAAATTATAAGAGTATATATCGGGCCAAGTGGCCAATAATCAGTTTTTCTATTAATGGCGATAAGCGATTCATTGCAGTTGTTACTTCCCTACCTTGTGCCCTATGATGGCACTAGCAATTTTTTTTACCTTATTTTATCGACTGTCGAACCTAAAACTGCTTTTCCCACACTCAAGATCAAATCTCAAACGAACTTAATGCACATGTGCCTAATAAATAGTCCAGAAACGAAACATAGAATTTCCTTTTTACATCCGTACATCTGAAAAATCATCGAAAACCATTAAAAAAACCAGATAACCTTCCAATCTTTAAAAATATTATCCGGAAACGGCGGACCCCGGAAATCCTAAAGCATCATAAATTCTAAAGAAACCCTCTGGAATCTCAACAATCCGTGGGATCAAAATTTTCTCGAAAAGATACAAACGCAGCTGCATTTTAATCACCAAAACTCCAATCACAACCCTGCAACTCGACGGCTGACCCAAAGTCAACCGTCTCGCCTCCCTACCACCTCCTGTCAGCCAATCCTATCCTCTAACTCAGGGTGCGCACGCCCCCGCGAGTCTTCTGCGGCATTTTCCACCCATGTAGATTCAACCCTATAAACTCG